TATATATATATACACACACACACACACACACACACACACACACACACACACACACACACACACACACACACACACATATATATATATATATTTATTTATTTATTGTTTATTTTTAGAGAATTAAAGGACAACAATATTGCTAACTTGGAATTTGATTCCCTGCGTCACTTAACAAAACTCAAAAAATTGTAAGAATTGTAACATTTTTTTAACATCTAACATTTAAATATGAAAATGTTTATTCCTATGTATGTCCCTCTAATTTCAGAGATGTAAGTGCTAATAAGCTCGGAAATAACTTTACTATTGCCTTGTCAGATATTGCACAATTACGTGAACTTAAAGTGAATAAAAATCACTTGACACAAGTGCCAGAACTTGTATTTGTTAAGAATATTACTCATCTTATGCTGTAAGTACTTAACATACATAAAAATATAAAAATTTCAATATAATCTGTTATGAAATACAAAAATTTATTATTGAATTATTAATAATAAAACATTCATATAATAAAAACTGTTAATATTATTATTATATAATTTTTTGTAGATCCCACAACTTAATTACTAGTATAAATGGTACTGCATTGCTTAGTTTACAACAACTTCAATATTTGGATCTCAGTGGAAATAAAATAAGTGTCCTTCAAAAGAATTCTTTCTTTAGTCCCAATCGACTTATACATTTGTATGTATTTTAGTTGTAATAAAAATTAATCATATTATGTATTAATTTTATTGTCTAATATTTTTAAATTTGAAGGAATCTAAATGCAAATCACATAAGAATCATCGAAAATGGAAGTTTAGATAACTTAACTTTGCTGGAGGAACTTCGTTTAAACAAGAACAATTTGATGCAGTTGAAAGATCTTTTCATGAATTTAGGAGAATTACGAATATTGTAAGTGTTTATATGCATTCTTATATTATTTTTATATTATATTAATATATTAGTATATTTTATATTTTACATGTTTTATAATTATTAATATATTAATAATATTTATATATATAAAATATATTAGAAAAATATTCTAAATATATTATCTAAAATATGCGATAACATTACAGGGAAATAAATAGAAATAATCTACAAAAAATACATGGACTAAGTCTAAAAAATTTAAAGAATCTAAAAGAATTATATCTAAAAAGAAATAAAATTGATACATTGGATGACGGAGCTTTTTGGCCACTTAAAAATTTAGAATTACTGCAGTTGGATTTTAATACATTGACCACTATAAAAAAGGGAGGTTTGTTCGGATTAGAACATTTGAAAAAGCTGACGTTATCTCACAATCAAATTTCAACGATCGAACCTCAAGCATGGGATGTATGCAAAGAGATAATAGAGCTGTTAGTAATATCTTCATAATTGAATGAGACGATTTATCATTACTAAATATTATAATTAAATACAATTAAATGAAATATGATTGTAAATTATTAACCTTGAATTTTTATTCTTATTTTTAGGGACTTGTCACATAACGAATTAATTTCTATTGACCGGGGTTTGTTCGAATATCTTACAAAGCTGGAGAAGCTTAAACTGGATCATAATAAAATTGCATATATTTCGGATGGAGCATTCAATTTTACAACAAATCTTCGTATTTTGTATATATTTATATTTCATCAATCTTATTTAATGCTTGCTATATATTGTATGTGTTACAAATTGTTATTTTGCTTTAAAGGGAATTGAATTCGAACAAAATATCCTATATGGTAGAAGATATCAGTGGCGCATTTTCTCCGCTCGGTCAGTTGTGGAAATTAGGTTTAGCGCACAATAGAATAAAATCTATAAATCAGAATGCTTTTATTGGTCTGAGTCGTGTTGTCGAGCTTGACTTAATCGGAAACAATGTTACGTCCATTCAAGAAAATGCTTTCCTTTCAATGACTAATTTAAAAAAACTTAAAATGAATACTGGTAAGTTTTATAAAATTTACTAGTAAATTTTATACATATCAAATATATAATTATATATCAATAGATATTCTTTTTTAGATTATAATTTTATTTTTATTTTGTTGTAGGAGCCTTAGTTTGTGACTGTGGACTTCAGTGGCTAAGTATGTGGCTACCAGACCATCCTTATGATGAAGCTGAGTTACACTGTGGTTATCCACATTGGTTGCAGGGCATGTCATTAACTCAGTTACATTATGCAAACTTTACTTGTGGTTAGTATTTCAATAAATTGAAAGAATTTTTTCACATATATATATATATATATATATATATATATATAATTAATAATATATATATATATATATATATATATATATATCTGTACCATATATATCTATATTATTCATTATAATTGAATATTATTGCTTTCTATTTTCACATTTTTAATAAAAATTATTCTCTTCGTTATATTCATTCACAGATGAATATCCAAAACCACGGATTATTCAAGAACCCGTGAGCCAAATGAGCATCAAAGGAGAGAACGTGACATTAGTTTGCCGCGCAACCAGCACTGCTGACACACCGCTTCATTTTATCTGGAAACATGATAATGTGGAGTTGGACGATGCAAATCTGCAGACCACTTTGAGTTCCTCCGAGAGCGGAGTAACCGAAGCAACATCTGTTTTATACCTTACTAACATCAGCTATGCTAACGCGGGAAAATATCAGTGTATGGTAATGAATACTTATGGAACTACATATTCAGCCAAAGCCAGACTAAGTGTGTTGGGTAAATTAAACATATTCATTGTTCTTAATTATGCTAATAAAATATATAGATTTTATTAACAATTCATTTTTGAGACAAAGTTTTTAGATATGATTAATTCTTTGAATTTTATGAATTTTAATTTCGATATATCTATTTTAAGAAAATAACATTGAAAATTAATCTAAATAAATAATCTAAAACTTTAAAAAGATAACAATCATACGGTTTAAAAAATCAAATTTTATATGGACTTTAATATAAATAGATTATATATCATATATATAAATAGATTATATATATGGTATATATAAATATATTAAAATATGTCATAATATGTTTTTCTGTCATAACATAGTTTATCCATCATTCTCCAAAATTCCACATGATATACGAGCGAATGCCGGAAGCACCGCTCGTCTAGAATGCTCTGCCGAAGGACAACCGTCCCCGCAGATAGCTTGGCAGAAGGATGGTGGAAACGATTTTCCAGCTGCGAGGGAAAGACGAATGCATATGATGCCGACCGATGATGTGCTGTTCATAGTAGATGTGAAAATGGCCGACAGTGGAGTTTATTCGTGTACCGCGCAAAATTTGGCTGGTCTTATCGTTGCAAACGCCACACTTACAATATTAGGTAATAATTATTTCCTGTTGCATATATTGACAATATATAAAAATTATTTTGTATATATTTATAATGCTATTTCTTTTCTCTAGAAACACCATCATTCGTAAAACCAATGGAGAATAAAGAAATAATGGTAGGTGGCTCGATCGTGCTCGAATGTATGGCCAGTGGTTCACCACGTCCGAAATTATCATGGCGGAAGAACGGTAGTCCGTTACAAGCAACAGAGCGTCATTTCTTCACTGCGGAGAATCAATTATTGATTATTGTCAATACGATCGCCAGTGATGCCGGTAATTACGAGTGCGAGATGAGTAATTCGTTAGGCAGCGTCGTTGGTGCGTCAAAGCTCACAGTCAAACCAGGTAATTCATTAATCTCTAATGATATGAAAGATTATAATGAAAGCTTCCTCTTTATTATTACGTTTTTTTCTTTGATATCTAGCTCCGACTTCCACGTTGAATGAATCTGAAATATTGGGTCTGATAATAATAACTGTGGTGTGTTGTGCCGTCTTTACTTCCGTGGTTTGGGTGCTCGTAATTTACAAAACTAGACGCCAATTGAATTCCACGCAGGACATCGCTGTACAGCCGGCAACGACTGTTATACTGACCGTACCAGAGGTACAGACACAATTATATTTAGATACAAGTTCGCAACACAGCAAGGACAGTGGAACCGGAGACAGTACTAATCCTAGCAACGATCAGCTACAATTGTGTTTACCTGGTAAGTAATTCTTATGTCTTAAACACAGAGCAAAGATTCAGCATTTCCATTATGAAACTGCATTTAATATTGCTCTGTAATATTATATTTAATATTATATTTAATGTCTTTTATTGATTATCGTCACGAATAACATATTTTTATATTCATTAGAAGAGACCGTGATTAGTTCTGTCAATAACGAGGAAGAAATGGGAACTATAAACGTTGACGATCCTCTCTTACGTTACACAAATCACGAGCGGCATGCAAGTGAAAACGCCGATAGCGCAGTCTAAAAAAACGAAGTATGCGAAATATGCGTTAAATGGAACAGGATCGTCCATTTGACCACGTTGTAATTGAACATGCCCATTCTTTTTTTTCCTCTCCTTTTGAGAAAAATGGATTTCCAACTCACTTTAACCGATCACAGAGCCGATCTCACGATCTCTCTTTGATCGGTTGATTAAATTTAGCAATTGTCAATTGCAAAATTTAAAACTGATCATATTATTTTATTTTTCCTCTTCATATTCCGCAAATTATAATTTATTTATGTAAAATATATTTTTAAATAATACAATATTCAGTATTATTTTTAATTAAAATAATTAAAAATTGGGATAAGAATGATCAATTATAAGTTTTGCAATTGTTAAATTTAATCGGCCAATTAAGCTAATTCAGCATGAAAT